AGTGCGGAAAACTGACATGTATTTATTTATGTGAAATGTTACCAATATGCTCACGGACCACTTGGGGGCGCTCACGGACCACCAGTGGTCCGCGGACCACCAGTGGTCCGCGGACCACACTTTGAGAAGCACTGCCGTATGCAAAGGGTAAGACTAAAGAATACACTTTTGCGATTAGCCCCCATCATGCTGTGATGAGGATCTGGAGTGATGGGGGGGGGGCTTCGGGGCTTTACCTGGGCCCTGGAGGCGATGACCTGCAGGTGAAAGGGGTGGAGGAGGAGGGCTGCGTCCATTCACCTGAATTTGAATCTGACAGGGGAGAAGAGAGCAGATGTCAAAGTGTGCCGGTGCCCTGTGATTGGCTTGTGGGAGATGGGGCGAGTCTGATTGGTTTAGCTTGGGGAGGGATACGCCCTTCAGTGAGTGCGAGAAGAGACTTCCCGTGTTCCTGAAAGAGCTGAGCTTTTTTATTGTTAAATGATAATACTGATGTGTTCCAGATGCTTCTGAGTGAGAAGGCGGCCGCTCTGCAGGAGGAGGTGGACGACCTGCTGACGCTGCCCAAAGACCTGCCCTCTGCTCCTCTCATAGCACTCTGATTCATCCTCTGCTCGTTATTGTTTCATACGTCTGGAACACACCTCCTGCTCGAATGATGTGTGAAAGCAGAAACACTGTAAAGTATATTTAAAATAAAAACGGCTGGATCTTACTGTTGGGTTTAATGTCTTTATTTCTAAGAGGTGGAGGGGAAGAAGGGAAATCCATCAGAGCAATTCAACTGAGGATCTTCAGTAGGAAAATATTGAGGTGTTTTTTTATTTATTCAACCTTTAATAACCAGGTTTTATTTATTGTTCAATCTCAAAAATGACTTCTGATTTACAGTTTGTCCTTTCTTGATTCTGATATTTCTCACGATTCTTATTTAATTCTTTATTGTGATTTTTAATATCACAATAATGCCTTTTTAAAAAAAATCTGAATTACAAGAGAGAAATCATAAAACCTAGCTTCAAGAAACAGAACTGAATTTCCTTTTTTTACTTTTGATCTCATCATTTGAACTTCTTTATCAATACTTTCAATTTCACTTTGTCTCAACATCCTCAATCTTTACTGGAAATGAGCTTCTCTAGCACCATAAACGTCCAATAGATGACCAGTATTGCCTAATTAGAGGGCGATGTGGGCGGGTCCACGAGTTTTAGCCAATCACAATTCGAGTAGAGCGGGGCAGGATGTATCAGCCAATGAGACACCGAGGGGGCGGGGCCTGCGTTCACAATTGAACACCGTGAGTAAACAGAGGAAGTGAGTCTGTCAGTTAGTTGCAGCATGGAGTCCGTTCAGCTGCTGGTTCTGGTTCTGATGTGGAAACTGTCCTCCGCATCTGTCCTTCAGAACCAAACAAAGACCCGGTTCTCCCCTCTCTTACCGCCGACCCAGACCCGGTTCTCCCTGCCGGTTCTGCTGCATGTCTCCTCGGTGTTTCGGCGGGTGGAGCGGCGCTTCCTGTCCGTCACCATCGACTCCAGCCTGGCTTCAGAGGAGAAGTTCATGTCGCTGCTGGGGTGTGTTCTGCTCCAACTTACACACACACACTAACACACTGACACACACACACACACACACACACACACACACACACACACACACACACACACACACACACACACACACACTTAATTATGTCTTAATGTACATTATTTAATTTAAAATAAAACATGTGACCTGCTGCTGCACATTAACACACCTAAAGAGGGTCAGGGTCAATGAGCTGTGATTCATCTGAAATCAGAACTAAATACTGCTCCTACTGGATTCGTTTTTTTTTTAAAGGTGCTTAATCTTCAGGTTGAACTGGTTTCAGTGGTTTCTCATCTCGTGTTGCATGTCTATATTCTTATTACATGACACTTGTTAGACGCTTTTATCCAAAGCAAATACTGTGGCCAATCCCCACAGGAGCACTTTGGGGTGAAGTGTCTCAGGGACACAACGACATGCTGACTGCAGTGGGGTTTGAACCTGAGACCCCCTGATCCCAACACACAACCCACTGCGCCACACGTTTCCCGTTATTATAGTTTCGCATGTCTTTGATTGTATTTAAACTATATTTATTTATTCTTTTGCTTTAGTGACATTGTATTAGTCGTTTTTGCTTCTCTGTGATTGTTTTGCAAATAAAACTCATAAATATGAATCTGACCTTAAACTACATGAAGCTGTGTTTGTGTTCCTATGAAGAGCTTTAAATGCCTTCAGGTCTTTTCACTGTTTTACATCCAATTGAAGTTGTTTTGATTTATTTAGTTGTGGTCGTATTGAAACTATTTCGGTCATTTTAGCTTTTTTCCATTTATTTTTAGTTGTATTGCTCATCTTTGTTATTGTTTTAAAAATATTTTGAAGAGTTTTTGCATTAAACTAATGGATCCTCTATTCTTAGTAGGTATTCCTGAGCGTCTGGTTGTGTTAGATGGTCAGCTTGTCACTGAGACTGTCTCTTCCATTATTTGGTTATTCTGAATCTAATTAGGTGGTTTTGTGATCTCGTCTCGTTGGCCTCATTTAGCATCTTTTGGGAGGATTTTCTCGTGTACTTTTATTCGTGAGCGTCTCTGTGTTTGCTTTGCATCAGTCCTTCTCAATAGTAATAATAAATCCTGCCTCTCCTCTGGGTTGCTTTGCTCCCATTGGTTCATTAACTCTCGTTGTCCTCTCCAGCTCTCCAAAGGTCCGGACTCTAGCTAAAGCTCTGAGTCCAGCGTTCCTCCGGTTCGGGGGAACGAGGCAAGACTTCATGGAGTTCAGCCCGATCCGCCGGGACGCTTCTTCCTCTGCAGGTACACTCAGGATAACAACATTAATACACTTTATTCATATCGCACCTTTCATGCTTCACGCAGCCCAAAGTGCTTTACACAGAGTATGAGAAAGAAAATCACAATAACAAATGAGGAACGTAATTAAAATATGTAAAAACAATTAAACATGAACAGTGATGCTACTAAAAATGATAAGCCAAATGAAAAAGATTCTTATTTACTCTTAGAACGATCCCATAATATATAATGCTATTTTAATTACGGCTACTCTTTAAAATGTGCTATTAATCAGAAACCACAGGTCTCGAACCTTCTTCAGAAAGAATACACAAGAAACGTTTGATTTAAGATTTCATTTCATCTTATTTGAATTGTTCTATGCAGATGATACACAGTTCTACATTCCTCTCTCTTCTGAGGATGTCAGTTATTTAAAAGAGCAGTTAACTGTATTTATATTATTAAAACCCATTTGTATATCTCAGGACTGAACTCAAAGGAGGAGAAATCGATGAATTTGAATAGATTTTTCAAACTATCTTCATCCAAATCTCTTGTTTTACACAAACTTTCTCGAGTAAAGTGATCAATCATTATTTAGTTGATTGCGCAGTTTGTCAGGTATTCTTCCTGCTAGTGAATTATCCATAAATTAGAGTAAAAACAGGCGCTGGGGTACATCTTTCTCTTTTTAAATAGAGACCTAGCATGGCCACTTTGCCTAAGGAGACGTCACGTTGTTTCTCGGTTGTTAGTTGGACATACAAAACTCTCAAATGCCACTAAAAGTAAACACATACATATATATTGTTTTTAAATCCAGTTTCATATCGTTTCCCGTCCTGCAGTCTGTCCCAACCCTCAGGGCACCAGGAGGTTTCTGCACTGAGGTTAAGAATAGTGAAATATACAAAATAAATAACTTTGATTTCCTTTTCTCTGTGTGTCTAGAGAAGTCCTGCTCTGCCCGGCTGCTGCCCTCCTGGCTGGAGCAGCGTCTGAAGAAGGAGTGGAGCCGACAACAAATCCTCCTGAAGAGGGAAGATCTGCAAAGGAAGTACAAGAGGGTCAAGTTCACAGGTACACCACTCACTATCTTATCTCTTATCTTCAGAGTGATTATTTCAGAGTGATTTCTTCTCCTCTCAGAGTTCACGGTGGACCTGCTGCACTCCTTCTCTAACTGCTCCGGTCTGGATCTGATCTTCGGGCTGAACGCTCTCCTCAGAACCTCAGAGAACATCTGGAACGGCAGCAACGCTCGATCTCTGCTGCAGTACTGCGAGTCCAGAGGGTACCAGATGGACTGGGAGCTGGGCAACGGTACGCTGAGCTGGCAGGGGTTAGCGGTCAGTGGTTAGCTGTCAGTTGTTAGCTGTCAGTTGTTAACTGTCAGTGGTTAGCGGTCAGTGGTTAGCTGTCAGTTGTTAACTGCGAGTTGTTAGCTGTCAGTGGTTAGTTGTCAGTTGTTAACTGCGAGTTGTTAGCTGTCAGTGGTTAGCGGTCAGGGGTTAGCGGTCAGGGGTTAGCGGTCAGTGGTCAGCGGTCAGGGGTTAACGGTCAGTTGTTAGCTGTCAGTGGTTAACTGTCAGTGGTTAGCTGTCAGTGGTTGACTGCGAGTGGTTAGCTGTCAGTGGTTAGCTGTCAGTGGTTAACTGTCAGTGGTTAACTGCGAGTTGTTAGCTGTCAGTTGTTAGCTGTCAGTGGTTAGCTGTCAGTGGTTGACTGCGAGTTGTTAGCTGTCAGTGGTTAGCTGTCAGTGGTTGACTGCGAGTTGTTAGCTGTCAGTTGTTAGCTGTCAGTTGTTAGCTGTCAGTTAGCTGTCAGTTTTTAGCAGAGGGTACCAGATTGACTGGGAGGTGGGTAATGGTACGCTGACTTTCATAGACTGGGGGGCTCACCAGAACTTAAACTGAGACTTCCTAGTATCTCAGTTTCCATAGTGACGGGTACCCAGGGCTCGAGACTAATGGCTAGGGACCGTAGAAGATCAGTTCCTGAGTCAGTAAACTCTCTATCCCCGTGTTCAGGAGAGAGTTGTTATTTACTGTTAGCTGTTATTAGATGTTAGCTGATAACTGTTTACTGTTAGCTGTTATTAGATGTTAGCTGATAACTGTTTACTGTTAGCTGTTATTAGATGTTAGCTGATAACTGTTTACTGTTAGCTGTTATTAGATGTTAGCTGTTAACAACAGTAGTCTTAAGAGTTTAAATGTAGTTGTTGTTTAGAAACTTTAAACTGGGGTTAATGTTAAGAGTTTCTCTTTTCTCCCTGTGAATTGTACTTTATTGATTTCACTCTGAGCCTTGTGGGCCTTCATGTTGTCGGTGCTTTAACCTCAGTGTTCATACATGATTCATTCCTTCTGCTTCAGGTCTGCACTTTAGTTCCAGTTATATTGAACTCTTGCGGTCTTTTATTTGAGTTTCACTTCCAGTTTTGAAGCCGTGGGAGAATGTAATGACTCAGACAAGAAGTGACTTGTTGTGGTTTTAACTTCCTGTTTTAAATTTTTGTTCTTTTACAAACCATCAAGGCAGATTATAACAGTCACAAATGTAACTTGGTGTTGAGACGGTGCAAAAATACAAACAACATAAATCAAACAAAAAATAAAAATAAAATGTTTTGAGCGGGTCCTATTCGATATAAATAAGTCCAATAATGGGAAAAGTTTCTCTGTGTTTTTGGAGCGCTTTTGCAAAAACGTTGAGTTCCTTCTTCCATCCGTTGATATGAGGTTTAGCTTTGAAATATTTACATTTATGAATAAAATGTTCACTCATCAAACTCAAGTTGTCCTTCCGGTTTGAACTGGTTTTATGGGTTTCAGAGCCCAACAGCTATGAGAAGAAAGCCGGGGTGCGCGTGGACGGGTTTCAGCTGGGAGAGGACTTCGCCCATCTCAGAGAGATGATGTCACAGTCAAAACTTTATCGACACGCTGGGCTTTACGGTCCAGACGTTGGTCAGCCTCGAAATCACCGGACCGACATCCTGCAGGGGTGAGAGGCACG